AAGAAAAGCAAAGCTGGAGGCATCACAGTTACAGACCTTAAGCTATATTACAAAGCTATAGTGATCAAAAACAGTATGATACTGGCACAAAAATAGACACATAGATCAATGGAACAGAATAGAAAACCCAGAAACAAACCCACAGTTCTATGATCAATGAATCTTTGGCAAAACAGGAAAGAATATCCAATGGGAAAAAAGAACGTCTCTTCAACAAGTGGTGTGGGGAAAACTGGAGAGCAACATGCAAAAGAGTGAAATGGGACCACTTTCTTATACCTTAAACAAAAATAAATTCAAAATGGATTAAAGACCTAAATGTGAGACCTGAAGCCACAAAAATTCTAGAAGAGAGCACAGGCAGTAACCTCTTTGACATCAGCTGTAGCAACGTCTTTCTAGATACGTTCCCTGAGGCAAGGGATATAAAAGTAAAAATAACTACATCAAAATAAAAAGCTTCTGCACAGCGAAGGAAATAATCAACAAAACTAAAAGGCAAACTGTGGAATGGGAGAAGATATTTGCAAAAGACATATCTGATAAAGGGTTGGTATCCAAAATATGTAAAGAAGTTATAAAACTCAACACCCCCCAAAATGAATAGCCCAATTAAAAAAAATGGGCAAAAGACATGAGTGGACATTTTTCCAAAGAAGACATCCAGATGGCCAACAGATAAATACATGAAAAGATGCTCAATATCACTGATCTGCAGGGAAATGCAAATCAAAGCCACAATGAGATATCACATCACGCCTGTCCGAATGGCTAAAATCAACAACACAAGAAACAACAAGTGTTGGTGAGGATATGGAAGAAGGGGAACCCTCTTGCACTGTTGGTGGGAATGCACACTGGTGGGGTCACTCTGGAAAACATGGAGGATTCTCAAGAAGTTAAAAATAGAACTACCAGCAATCGCACTACCAGGTAATTACCTAAAGGATCCAAAAACACTAAATCAAAGGGATACATGCACCCTGATGTTTATTGCAGCATTATCTACAATAGCCAATTTTGGAAAAAGCCCAAGTGACCATGGATTGATGAATGGATAAAGAAGAATGGACAATGGAATATTGCTCAGCCATAAAGAAGAATGAAATCTTGCCATTTGCAGTGACATGGATGGAACTGGAGAGTATAATGCCAAGCGAAATAAGTCAGTCAGAGAAAGACAAATACCATATGATTTCCTTCATATGTGGAATATAAGAAACAAAACAAATGAGCAAAGGGAGAGGGGAAAAAGAGAGATGGAGACAAGCCAATAAATGGACTCAATTATAGAGAACAAACTGATGGTCACCAGAGGGGAGGTGGGTGAGGGGGATGTGTTAAATAGGGCATGGGGATTAAGGAGGGCACTTGCTGAGATGGGCACCAGGTGTTGCATGAAGTGTTGAATCACTATATTATACACCTGAAATAGCATTATATTGTATGTTAACTAACTGGAATTTAAATAAAAACTTTAAAAAAGATTTAGGATTTTCAGAAATGAAAGGGGATGTACCAAATGTCAAACTCTAAATATCAGCTTGGCAAGTGTATCAATATATAGCTTACCAACTCAGGGCATGTGGTGGGATAAATAACCTATTTAAATAAATAACCTTAATCACCGAAAACCATTTAAGGCTTTTTGTGTCCTGTGGGTGAAGTTTGCCTGTCCTAAAGTCATGAAAATCTCCTCTTATGTCTTCTGGAAGCTTTACAATTCTAAGTTTTGCGTTTAGGTTTATAATACGTTCCAAATAGGGGCATCTGCCTGGCTCAGTTAGTAGAGCATGCGACTCTTGATCTCAGGGTTGTGAGCTCAAGAGCTGTGTTGGGTGGAGAGATCACTTAAAAATAAAATCTTCTCAAAAAAATACACCCGAAATAAATTTTTAGTGAATGGAGTGAAATAGGGGTCGAGTTTCTTTAACATTTTTTTCCTATATAATAGTCCCAGTTCCATTTCTTTAGAACATTAGGCCTCTGCTTATCGTCAGATATAATTTCATAGATGAAGAGATTTGGCCAAAGGGCTGCACCCAGATGTAGAGCTGAGCAGAGAGGGCATTGCATTAGAAGGATGTGGTCATTGGAGGGGCTGAGGGATGGCGTTCCCTTGCCTTAAACGTCAGTGGTTGAGGATTAGTCCTGGAGATCTGATGTGCCACTTGGGATCTTTGTGAATTTCATTTTTTAAAAATTATTTATTTATTTATTTATGATAGTCAGAGAGAGAGAGAGAGAGAGAGAGAGAGAGAGGCAGAGACACAGGCAGAGGGAGAAGCAGGCTCCATGCACCGGGAGCCCGATGTGGGATTCGATCCCGGGTCTCCAGGATCGCGCCCTGGGCCAAAGGCAGGCGCCAAACCGCTGCGCCACCCAGGGATCCCATGAATTTCAGAAGATAACAAAGGATTTGCTTGCTGCCTCAGAAAACACTCATCAGTGGGCTGGCCAAATAAGTTACCACTCAGGGGAAGTTATGCCGAATTCCAACGTGGATTTAACCCAAAAAAGATAGAACACTATGTGAGTTCATTTCAGAGTGCAGGCCAACTTAGTCAGAAGAGACATTCAAGGGGCGCTTGGGTGCCTCAGTCGATTAAGTGTCTGCCTTCAGCTCAGGTCATGATTCCAGGGTCCTGGGATCAAGCCCCTCGTTGGGCTTCCTGCTCAGCGAGGAGCCTGCTCCTCCCCCTCTCTCTCTTCCTTTCCCCTGCTTGTGCTCTCTCTCTCTCTCTCTCTCTCTCATAAATAAATAAATAAATAAATAAATAAATAAATAAATTTAAAAAAAAAAGACATTCGAACTGAGACTCAAAGGATAAGCAGGAGAAAACAGGTGGAGAGGAGGGGCAAGATGGCCCCGGTGCATGCTGGGGTGGAGGATCTGGCAACCAGTGCTAGGCAGCCATGGAGACCAGGTGTGGGAAGTGAGATGGACGAGGGAGGAGCCTGAAAATGGCATGAGCAGCCAGGCAGGCAGTGATTTGCCTCTCTAGGGACTGTGCTGTGCCAGGAATCTTAGACTGGATTTTAGGTTCACTGTGAAGCCTCTGAAAATTGGTGTTAGTGACTTTTCTGCCCAAAGAGCTTTCATGCACAAAAACATTCTTACAGTCACTTGTGTCTTACTATTTAATTTATCCATGTTATAGAAATAAAAACCTATACTTTTAAGATTTTAAGCTCAACTTTTAAGTTACATTTATAAGCCTGGCGATGTTCTGCATGAGAAAAATATTTTTCGACTTAATTGGTTATTTAATTACTGTGCACTTATTTCATAAATCTGACAGATCATATTCTCCCGAATATTTAACACCAGGACCATCTTTAATCAATCGAATTACGTTAGATATTTTAAACGACGTTTACAAATGTAATATATTTGATTCTCTCACATTCACAGAGGCAGACTCACAAATCTTACGTGAGAAATATGCCTAAACTCAGTAATGAAATTCTTTTAAGCTTTTCAAGTATCTTTGGGAAAAAGAAAAGAGAAGTTTACTTGGATCAGTCCAAGTTTTCAACACTTGTCAGTATACTTGACCCAACACAGTTCGTGCATTGTTCTTTTTTTTTTTTACAGATTTTATTTATTTATTTATTCATGAGAGAGAGAGAGAGAGAGAGAGAGAGAGAGAGAGAGAGAGAGAGGCAGAGCCACAGGCAGAGGGAGAAGCAGGCTCCATGCAGGGAGCCTGATGTGGGACTCAATCCCGGGTCTCCAGGATTAGGCCCTGGGCTGAAGGTGGCGCTAAACCGCTGAGCCACCCGGGCTGCCCTCATGCTTTGTGCTTGTTTTTGATACTCTCCTTGTGTTACTTAGTCAAGCAAGGGGAAGGCATTTACCAGATCAGTTTAGCTGAGATTTCTGTCAGAAATTCTGGGTCAGGGGTGCCTGGGTCAGGGGAGAGGAAGAGTGGGAGAGGGAGGAGCAGGCTCCTCGCTGAGCAGGGAGCCCAACCAAGCATCCAGCTCTTGGTTTTGACTCAATTTGTGATCTCAGCATCATGGGATCAAGTCCCACATCGAGTTCCGTTCTGCACTCAATGCAGAGTCTGCTTGTGATTCTCTCTCCCTCTGCCCCTCACACTCTTGCTCACACTCTCTCTTTCTCTCTAAAATAAATAAATAAAATCTTTAAAAAAACCTGAAATTCTGGGCTGTAAAAATCTGACCAGAAGTTTCACAGGGCAAGTGCTCTATTGTTTCTTTGTTTCTATTTTGTTTTAAAAGGTACCCTGGGGAGCACCTGGGGGGCTCAGTCAGTTGAGCATCTGCCTTTGGCTCAGGTCATGATCTCAGGGTCCTGAGGGTCCTGGAATGGAGTACCAAGTCTGGTTCCCTGCTTCTCCCTCTCCCCCAGCCCCTCCCCCAGCCCTGCTCATGCTCTCTCAAACTTTCTATCTTAAATAAATAAATAAATAAAATATTCTTTAAAAAATAAATAAAAGGTACCCGGGATTTGTTTCATTCAGGTATGGTAAGATACACAGACATGGACATGACTGCCAGGAAGGATTAAGTTCTTACCCACAGTTCTCTAGAATCAGGAGGCATTCCAAGCCATGTAAGGCCACATACAGAATCACCAGGGTCAGCCAGGAGGCAGAAGAAGTGAGGTGGAAACGTGGGCTGAGCTTTTATTTTGGTTTTCACAGGAAGGAATGGGCGAAGCAGGGTAGGCTAACAGGGAAGACCTAGGATTGAAAAGTTTGAATAATTGGGGCAAGCCCTGGGCTAGAAGGGCAATCCCTAGTTGGCAATCCCTGACTCTGGAGTGATTTAGGGCAAAGGGACAGTGTTCTGGACTGCAGGAGCCCGTTAAAAGGAAGGGGATGGTGGATACAGACTCAGGACTGGTTGGCTTGCAGCAAAGTGTTTGTTATCTCTAGGAATTAGCTAACTCTAGAAAAGGCAGGCCCTCCCCAAGTCATCAATGCCCCAAGATGTCAAAACACCATAAGGTAGAGAAAATAAAAAACACGGTACTTGTTTGGGCAGCACAGGTACTAAAATTGGAAGAATATAGAGAAGATTAGTGTGATCCCTGCACAGGGATGATGCACAGATTCGTGAAGGATGCCATATTTTTAGATGAACATTTTTTTCCTTAAAAAAAATAAAATGAGTGGCTGCACCAGTTCACATTCCCACCAACAGTGTAAGAGGGTTCCCTTTTCTCCGCATCCTCTCCAACATTTGTGGTTTCCTGCCTTGTTAATTTTCCCCATTCTCACTGGTGTGAGGTGGTATCTCATTGTGGTTCTGATTTGTATTTCCCTGATGGCAAGTGATGCAGAGCATTTTCTCATGTGCATGTTGGCCATGTCTATGTCTTCCTCTGTGAGATTTCTCTTCATGTCTTTTGCCCATTTCATGATTGGATTGTTTGTTTCATTGCTGTTGAGTTTAATAAGTTCTTTATAGATCTTGGATACTATCCCTTTATCTGATACGTCATTTGCAAATATCTTCTCCCATTCTGTAGGTTGTCTTTTAGTTTTGTTGACTGTATCCTTTGCTGTGCAAAAGCTTCTTATCTTGATGAAGTCCCAATAGTTCATTTTTGCTTTTGTTTCTTTTGCCTTTGTGGATGTATCTTGCAAGAAGTTACTGTGGCCAAGTTCAAAAAGGGTGTTGCCTGTGTTCTCCTCTAGGATTTAGATGGAATCTTGTCTCACATTTAGATCTTTCATCCATTTTGAGTTTATCTTTGGAAAACTGTGTGGAGGTTCCTCAAAGAGTTAAAAATAGACCTGCCCTACAACCCAGCAATTGCACTGTTGAGGATTTACCCCAAAGATACAGATGCAGTGAAACGCCGGGACACCTGCACCCCGATGTTTCTAGCAGCCATGTCCACAGTAGCCAAACTGTGGAAGGAGCCTCGGTGTCCATCGAAAGATGAATGGATAAAGAAGATGTGGTTTATGTATACAATGGAATATTACTCAGGCATTAGAAACGACAAATACCCACCATTTGCTTCGACGTGGATGGAACTGGAGGGTATTATGCTGAGTGAAGTAAGTCAATCGGAGAAGGACAAACAGTGTATGTTCTCATTCATTTGGGGAATATAAATAGTAGTGAAAGGAAATATAAGGGAAGGGAGAAGAAATGTGTGGGAAATATCAGAAAGGGAGTCAGAACATGGAAGACTCCTAACTCTGGGAAACGAACTAGGGGTGGTGGAAGGGGAGGAGGGCGGGGGGTGGGGGTGAATGGGTGACGGGCACTGAGGGGGCACTTGACGGGATGAGCACTGGGTGTTATTCTGTATATTGGTAAATTGAACACCAATAAAAAATAAATTTATTATAAAAAAATAAAATGAAAAACCTTGATTAATATATCCTGAAACTTCCTCCCAAGACTGAAGCAGGCAGTTGTGGGGAGGCCTCCATTTTGTATCTGCTTTTGCCTGCCACATCACCTGTCATACTAAGCCAACAATTTCAGATTCTAGTAATAAATATCACATAGAATTTCTGGTCTGAAATAATTCGTCTATCATATTAGACAGGGCCCTGTTTGGGTCCTCTGATTATATTTCCCTTTTGCATAACCACCAGCAATACCCTACATTGGAACCTATGACATTATATGTGGGTAGACTATTGAACCCTGTCCTCTGGCCTCATCGTGTCATCCATCTTTTTTCTCTTTCTAAGTCCCACATGCCTTATGAGTTGTTCTTCTGCTGTTGTTTTATTCGATTCTTCAAGCAGTGGCTAATTGTTGAGGGCTCACTGTGTGCCTGACACTGTTCTAAGTGCTGAGGACACACCACACAACAACCCAGACAGAAGTTCCTGCCCTTGCAGAACTTTAATTTGAACAAGGAGACAGACAACAAACAATGCACATGATGAATGAATTAATCGGATAGTATGTCAGAAGGTGGTAAGTATTATGGGAAAAAGAAAAAGTAGAGTAAGGCAAGGACCATTGGGAATGCTGGCGGGGATGTGAGAGAAGTTTGAAATAGGGCGGACAGGGGAGCCTCACGAGAAGGAGGCATTTGAGCAAAGGCCTCATGCTTACTAATGGAGTCACATGATCATATCTGAAGATCAAGGCTATAGTTCAGGTTAGATGAGGACACTGTAGGAAGAAGAGTAGGGAGATAAGGGGCATGTGACTTGCAGATGCAGTGAGGTGGTTAAATGTGGAGGGCTGTGCTAGAGTGGCCAGTTTGTGAGTTGCCTTGCACATTCCATGGGGCGTGGGGTGCTAGGCCTTAGAAGTGCTGTGCAGGGCTGGGCTGGGCAAGATAAAGGCCAGACATAGACACCTGTATTGCAGTCTTCTTCCCAGAAATGATAAGTGGAAGCCACAAGAATGAGCAAACTTCAAAGGAGACCCTGGGAACATCCATCTATGAGGAACAGGTAGAAAAGAGGAAATGGAAGGAGATATCTGAGTGGTTTCAGCCTGAGATGCTGGGGAGGGACCAAGGAATAAGGAACCAAGGAAGCAGAGATCGGAGAGGATCGGGAGATGGGAAGTGGTGTATCCTCAACCCAAGGATAGTGTGAGGATTGGGAAGTTTGGTGGTGTTATGGGAATCTTTTTGGTGACCTTTCAATATAGAAGCTACAGGCAAACTGTTGTGAATCCACAAGAATTCAGGGAATATTATTCTCATGAGCCCTTTCTGAAAAATCTATTAGACAACAAGCTTCAGAAAACCAATTGAAGAAATTATCTAAGACTAAAATTGTGGTAGGAAGGGAGAAAGAAGGGGTGCCTGAGTGGCTCAGTTGGTTATGCGTCAGACTCTTGATTCTGCTCAGGTCATGATCTCAGGGTTTTGAGATCCTCTACGCTTAGTGGAGAGTCTGCTTGAGATTTTCTCCTTCTCCCTCTGCCCCCACCACTGCTCATACATGCTCCTTCTCTCTCTCAAATTAATAAATAAATCTTTAAAAGAAAAGAAAGGAGAAAGTAGTTTGTAATCGTTATATCCGAAAATGTAAATGTAGTATTCAAAAAATTGGATGAAAAAGGATGGGGTACATACCAAGCAGGATAAATTTGCTCACTGCCTTATGTACGTTGGGATCAAAAGGATATTACTTAAAAATTATGCAGTAGGGAAGAGAAGGGGAATAGCAAGTGTTTACAAGCTAATTTCAACATTGCTCATGGTAGACAGTATAAACAAAGGGACTAAGGTATGTTCAGAGGCATTAGCATATAGGTAACTAAATGAGTTTCCTATTGCTTCTGTAAGAAATTATCACAAATATCATGACTTAAACAATACAGATTTATTATCTTATACTTCCGGAGGTCCAAAGTATGAAATGGGTCTCACCAGGGTAAAATTTAGGTGTTGGTAGGGCTGCATTATTTTTGGAGGTGCTGGAGGAGAATTCATTTTTCTTGCCTTTCCAGATTCTAGAGAACGCAGCATTCTTTGCCTCATGGCTCCCTTCCTGCATTTTTAAAGCCAACAAAGGGAGTCAAGTGCCTTTCACATCATATCAATCGGACCTTGCTTCCTTTATCAAATATCCTTCTCACTCTGACTTTTCTGTCTCCCTCTTTTCTGTCTTCCCTCTCCCTCCACTTTTAAGGATCCTTGTGATGATATCAGGCCCATGCAGATAATCCAGCCTGATCTCCTTATCTTAGGATCTGCTGATTAACAATCCTAATTCCATCTGCAACCTTAATTCTCCTTTGCTCTATAATAAAGCATATTCATAGGTTCTAGGAATTAGGACATGAGCACCTTTGGGGGGCCCTTATTCTGCCTATCACAATAATTAGGTTCCAATAAAAACATAAAACTTCCTAAGTTTCAAAGTATATCCTCCCCCAAAAGAAAATACAAATAAAATGCAAGATGGAGGAGGAAATTGTAGCTCAGAGGTAGATAAGCTAATAATTTGTAGCTAATATTTTTTTAAGATTTTATTTATTCATGAGAGACAGAGAGAGGCAGAGACATAGGCAGAGGGTGAAGCAGGCTCCATGCAGGGAGCCCGATGTGGGACTCGATCCCAGGACTCCAGGATCACATCCTGAGCCAAAGGCAGCCACTCAACCGCTGAGCCACCCAGGCATCCCTGTAGCTAATAATTTCTAAGCTCGAACCTAGAATATTTAACTCTAAAGCTCCTGCTTTTTATTGCTTCACATGATAAAGTTCAAAGACTCATCTCTTACGAAGTGGAATAATGATTGTCAGTCTGGTCCTTATAAAGAAGGAAAGTCTGAAGATGAGGACAGATATGATTATGATCAGGATCAAAGAATGCCAAAAAAACTAATTAAGGAAGGTAGAGGAGGCCAAGAGGAGCCAAAGGGATTGTTACTATCTTGAAATATAATAGGATTTTCATGGGGATGAATTGGGTCATTTTTCTTTATTTTCTCGGAAGACAGAAGTACAGTAATAGATTTAAGTTAAAACTGCAGGCATTTTAGATCTTCATTAGAAATAAAGTCTTTTCTTTTAAGAGGCCTGGAAGAGGCCTCCAGTGGAAAATTTGAGAGACACTGAGGCCATTCCCCAGCCTTGAAGTGAAGGCCAAGCAAAATGGCTGATTTCCTAGGACCTCTCTTAATTCTGATAAAAGATGACAAGATTCAAGCCCAGGGTAGAGGGTAGGTCATGTGTCATGGTCCAAACCCCAAACTGCTGTTGTTTCTGACAGTCACTGGATAATTGGTAAATTTATTAGGCCAAGGGCCAAGGAAACTTGGGTATCAAACCTTTGGAAAGTGAATGCTTCTTTGTTCGAAGCGATGAGACAACATAATGGAAGAAGCACCCACATTATTTTTCCAGTCTTGAAGGATACAAGTGGAGTTGTCAGGCCATGTTTTCTGATTCTGTCATGTACTAGCTGAGTGGCCTTAGGTAATTTACTGAACTGCTCTGAGTCTCAGTTTTCTGATCTGTCAAATGGGCATAATGATACATCTGCCAAAGGGGTTTTAGGAAGACTAAATGAGGGAATTTAAGGTGGGCCTGCCCACGACAGACACTCAGTTAATATGATTATCTGTCCTCCAAGCAAGCTATGGAACAGGCTGCATTTGATCTGCGATGTTTTCATGCTGCCATTAACAGGC